TAAACCTTTAAATAGGAACATCCTTAATGCATTTGAAATTATTTTAAAGAAAATATCGTAGGAGTAATGGTGAAATAAGTTATGGTACATCCATATCATGAAATAATGAATTACAATGAGAAAGGATAAACTGTGCCTACATATGTTTACACATGGATAGATCGCCATATGTTGTTGGTTTTAAAAAAAAGCAAGATTCAGAATAGGAACAAAATAGCTCCCCTCCCCACTTTTTAAAAATTAAATATAGAGAGAGAAAGGTCTGGAAGGATATACCTCTAATTGTTAAAGGGGCATCAGATTTGGGACCTCTGAGGAGTTTCTTCGAAATTTTAACATTCTACTTTCTTTTGTAATTTCCAACACACACACACACACACGCACACACATGCACGCGCATGTGTACCCATGGAAGAAAGAAAACGACAAATAGAAAACAAGTTCTTGAATTCTCTTTGGCCTGTGTTTTTCATGGGACTTTGAAAGCTGTTGAACTGAACCGAGGAGGTGTGAGAATTTCCACACCCGGCTTTCCTTTTTGAAAGAGAGAGAGAGACTGAAGGAGAGAGAGAGGGAAAATGAGTTTCGGCATTACTCATTACTCAGCACATCCAAACAGGTAGTCATACTCTCATCCCTGCCACCACCGAAGCCGTGACACACAGAGTAATGGAGAAACTTTGATAAATGTCAGCTGAAATAGAGCAATCAGATGAAAGCCATTTGCTGAGCTGTCTGACTGCCCTGGGCCCAAGGTTTTCCTTTATTCATTTATCATGATATACGGCTTTGGCCAACATACACACAGGAGAGAAATTGTTGACATGTGGAACCCAAGTACAGAAAATCTTTCAATTTCCCCCCCGTCTGTTCACCAAATAAGTTTTTGTTTATTTAAAGACTACAGAGGATTTGGCTGTTAAGAACCAAATGCCTTTGGAGTGGAGTTACAACATAATTTATCATTTCCTCTGTTTATTAAAAAATCCTGCATCTTTGAGAAGCACATTTGCAGTGAGTGGGGGATTTCGGCCACTCGGGAAAGACTGTTGCAAAGCCCTCGCCATGTGGCTTACCCCAAAAGAGGCTCCTTGACTGCTCCTTCCATCCCTGTTCTTCGTTTAGCTGACCTCCAGTCATGTGATGACCACTCAGGGCCGGTGAATGGCGTCTGACCAAGAAAGACAGGTAAGCGGGGCAGGAGACTGTCCGCTTCTTTCATCTCCGACCTAATTCTGACCGTGAGTGTCCACTAGCTGTCGTGCAGCACACTCCACCAGTCCAAGCGGAGGGAAAAGTGCACCCCTTATTACCTCTAGCATGGGACGGAGCCTCTGAGGGGTCAAACAGCAAAGAGAAGCTGGATGCTGCTTCAAAGGAACGCGGCCAGGCCTGCTGCTGCCAAGGTAAGTGCCATTCTGAAGACAGACATTTGACAGAACCGGAGCGAACTTCCTCCCTTTCACTCGAGACATAAATAGCAACTTAGTCCAGTGCATCACACCCTCCTCAAAGACAGGGGTCATGTCTTACCCCCGTTTGTATTCCCAGCGTGTATCATAGTACCCATCACACACTTGGTGCTCACTAAATGTTTATGAAGTGACCAGGATGTAGTGGGTAGAACACATGCTTTAGATCAGGCCTCAATCTGAATCCTAGCTCTGCTACGTGCTAGCTATATAACCCTGGGCAAGAGACCTCACCTCTCTGAGCTCTTCCCTCTCTGTAAAATGAGACAATGAATAATAAAACTCTCTTATTAGCTTTGTTGCTTTGGGCAAATTATCTAATATTGTCAAGTCTCAGTTTTCCTATTTGTAAAATGGAGATAATATACATCTTGCAAGTTTATTGTGAAGATCAAAAATATTGTCTAGAATTTTATCTAGTTCATGTTGGCTATATTACAAATGAATGAATGAACTAATAATGAACAAATAAAAGAATTATTGTACTAATAATTTGACCCAGTACTCAAAAAATGAGCCACAGCAAACCAGTAACAGGCAGACCCTGGAGGAAGAGTCTCCCATAACCAAGTAAATGTTGAGGACAGAGGCAAAAGCAGAAAATGACAGAATGACAGTATTAAGACTGGAAGGAAAGGAAAAGCCAGCATTTGTTGAGTAGCCACTATGCGTAATTCATTCACAACACATTTGAATGCCTACTATGTTCCAGGCATTATGCCGAATTCTGAGGCTACTGAATATACAGACAATTACCAAAAAGAATAATTAAGGTTCAGATAGAAACAGTAGACGGTGCTATGGGAGCCAATAATAGGGGTCCTCAGTTGCGGGGAGAAGGAAGACTTCCCAGAAGAACTGTTGTCTCAGCTGAGAGGTGAAGGATGATCAGGACTGCCAGGTGAGGACTGGTCCAGGTAAAGGAGAAAGTGTGTGAAGATGACTCAGAGTCAAAAGTCTGTTCTGGATGCTTTACCCACAGGTCCTCAGAGGTCATTAATCCAGACTGACTCTACTGTTTTTCTTATGGTTATTATTCTTTCTAATTCATTTTGATTTTATTGACTGGTAAAAATGGGCCTCTAGCGAAGTTATCCAGTCACAGGCGAAGGTCCACATCAGCCCAAGCGAAGTTTAAAGTTGGGGCCAGGGCCCTACTAAATGTTTGAAAAGGAGGCTCCCGACATGAGGAGCCGTCGGGGCTAAGCCTGCAGTGGTCCTAGGCATTTGGCAACGTCACAGTTACGGCAAATGCCCTAAGTACAAGCCCTCTGTCAGCAACAGATATTCTCCGAGGGCTGCCCATACCAGAAGACCTAGAGCAGACTGGGGGGACAGGGGAAGAGAGGAAGAGAATGAACAAATCTGGGTGTCCCACTGGAAGGCTGGGCCTCACAAGGACTGACAAGTACAGTGACGGCCTTCTGTGTGGATAGGGAGGAGAGACGCCAATTCGCCACCCAGGGAATGCACTAGAAACTGGGCTCTGAGGTACTGCTGGCCCCGGTGGACTTTCATCCAAGGAGTTCCTTAGTCTTCACTGCCAGATGCCTGTCCAGCTCTGCAACTGTGTCGTCGGCCATTTGGCTGATCTGCAGAAACACGAAATGAGACAGCCTGATAACCGGGGCTGGAAAAGGGTGGAGGAGAAACATTCCAGAACAATGGAAAGGTTATCTGGGAAATCATAATGGTGACAAGTGCTCACCACATTCTCTGAGTCCCAGACAGGCACTGTACTAAGAACTTTATAATCGTTCTCTTATTTGATTCCTAACTGCAACCTATGAGATAGATATTATTATTATTTCCATTTCAAAGATGAAGAAGGTGAGGCAATTCGATTTCTTATTCAGGATACACAACTAGAAAGTAGCAATGACAAAATTTAATCTGGTTAGTCTGATTCCACAGCCCCAAATTCTTAACTATTATTATAGGATACAGAGAAGCCAGTCTCATCTGTCCCTTAACGAACCTCTAGTGTCTCCTATGCCTCTGCTAGATAAAGCCCTCATACTAATTGATAAGAAGACTATTCAGATCCCAATTGTTAGGCAGAAAAAAAAAGTCTTGAAAAAAGATGAAGTACATCTGGTTAACAAACATGGAAAATTCAATAGACACTGAAGAAATGGAAATTAAAACAAGATATAATTCAGTCATCATAGTTAACAAAATTTGATGTCGTGGTTTTTAATTATAATATTCAATGCCAGGAAGCTATGGTGAAATGGATAAGGTCACATATCATCAATAGGGATTCAAATTGATGCAAATGTTCATACCGTTTTTTTTAACCCCAAAATCTCTCAACTGGGAAATTACCACATGAATGGAATCTGAAAAAATTTTAAGTTCTATATACAAAGGTATTTATCTAAGCTTTATTTTTAATAATGAAAAATCAGAAAATCTAAAGGGCTAGAACAGGGAAGTAGATGAATACAGACAGCCATTAAAAATGGGTAAGATTATCCATTTGTTATGGAGAGGGTATAAATATGAATAACATTCCAGTATATATTTCTGAAACGTTTGAATGTTTGAATGTTTTATAATAAGCATGGGTTGCTTTTGTAATCAGAAAAAAAGAAATAATGTTTCAAGATATTATTTATAATATCATGGAAACATGTTCATATTATCCCTGAATTAAAGAAAAAGCAGGATACAAAATTGTGTATACGTAGCAGAAATGATCTCAAATATGATTTAAAAATGCATATTTTTTAAAACTAGGAGGAAACCTGTCAAATTATTAACAGTGATTATCTTTCAGTGATGGAAAGATAGCTAATATATTACTTATGTCACTATCTGTCACATACAACAGACGACCCAGTACATAGTAAGTGCTCAGGAAATACTAAATGAATAATTATTAATGTTCCCTATGCTTTTCTATATTTTCCAAATTTTCTGAAATAAACAAATACTTCCTCTGAGAATGAAAAACACAGGACACTTAGTAAGTGTTGCGGACTTCCTCCCACGTCTGACAGGGACCTTCGGCAGAGACTCAGGCAGGAAGCTTTGAAGCGGGCAGCGTGGAGCCCAGGGCCTGTGTTCAGCAGCACAGCGGCTGCCTGACATCTTTATTTGCAGACCACAGGTCTTGGCCAGGAACTGCGAAATAAATGCACTGGAAAGGGCAGAAACTAAAAAGGATTTGGAGCAATTGGTCCCAGGCACGGAGACAGCCAGACTCTCGCCATAGCAACAGCTGCGCATTTTTTTAGCTGGAAAAGCAAAGTTCCTGGGGCTGCTGGGCACTCTGAAAGAGCGACTGGGCTCAGAGTGGCTGCTTGGTCCCTCCTCACTCTGCCAGCAGCAAACCCTTGATATGCTTCTTTTGCCCCCACCTGAGAAGCATTCCGGCACCCCTAAGCATTCCGGCACCCCTGGGACTGACAGGAACCGAGGCAGCAAGCCTCCTGGAAAACGGGTTTGGTGTCAGGGACGGGGACTTGGGGGAGGAAGAGCACATCTAGGCTAACAATCTGATAATGTGGTTTCTGTAAATTCTTCTCAGTGCTGTGACAAAGTGCAAGTCACATCCCCACTTAAGTCAGTCCCCTTGTCTAACAAATAGTGATGCTAGTCCCTTCCTCAGAGAGTAGTTGGTAGGGTTAAACAAAGCCATAAATATGCAAGCATATTTTAAATTGGTTATTTGCACTGCAAATACTGTTTGTGTTTCTCTGATTTTTATATTACTTCCTGACTTCTTTTCAAATCAATTAATGAAAATATTTACTTTTTACCATACTACAGGCACAAAGAGACAGTCTGCCTGAAAGTTCACCTTTTCCATCTTTATCGGACTTCTTAAAATGATGATGATTAACAACAATGACAAGGACATCAACAACATCTCACACTTATTACCTTCCAGGCACTGGGCTAAAAACTTTACCTGCATTATTTCACATAATCCTCAAAACATGAAATACTATTATCATCTCCCTTTAATATATTATGAATCCTAATTATTTCACCCGACAGTTACACAGTAGTTCACACTATACAAAAGTGTTTTATCCTGTTACTTCATTCCAATCCAACAATCTCAGGTAACATCTATAGATGGGTGGGATAGGTATTACACCCATTTTCAGAGGAGTAAACCAAGGCATTAAATGTTAACCAAGTTGCTCGAGATCACATAAAAAGTCAGTGGTGTGGCTGGGTCAAGAACTCACCCACCCCAGTTGCCAGTCTGGTGCCACTACTCCCTCTGGGGAGTCTGCAGCACCCGGCCTAGTCCTTTCCCCTTCCAGTGAGGAGGTTGTTGGGCTCATTAAAACAGTCAATCCCAATCCCATATTCAAAGTCACAAGGCAGGGAGAGAGAAGTGGGATGGACAACTAGGCAACAACTACTGAGGACCAGTAACCATACCGGCCACTTTTAAGTAAGTTGTGTCATTTGGTCCTCTAACCAATCCTGTGCGACAGGCATTACTGCTACCACTTTACAGTGAGGAAACAGAGGCCCAGAAAGGTGAAGCCCTTTACTGAACTTAACAGATGACAAATGAAACAGCTAGAATTTGAACTCAGGCCAGTCTGATTCCAAAGCAAGAGCCCTTTTCCTCATAAAGGTGATAACACCGTCATCAGCATTATTGTCGTGGTCGTCATGGTCGTCGTGATCATCATCATCATCACATTTGCTCCTTACAAGTTCAGGGAAATAAAAGGCAGACAGAGGAAAGGGAGATGGCAGGAGAACACCCCTCGGGCAGGCCCGGGTAGCAAGGCATCCTTTCCGAGGTCTGACGCAGAACACCCACAACGCCACTGGGCGCTCCTGCTGCTCAGGTCCAGCCCGCCCGCCCGCCTGCCTGCCTGCCCGCCTGCCTGCCCAGGCTGCTGGGAGCCTTCGCCTCCTTCAGCCCCACCAGCACCCAGCTTCACTTCAGAGCAGTTCGGTTTCTGAGAAACAGGCAGCAGTGAAAGGATCTTGGCCAGATTTACTGGTGGTTTCTGCCAAGTGCTTTAATGTT